ACAAAAAAAAAAAAAAAAACAGCTAAACAGAAGTGGATATTATAGCACGAACGAGGTAATGTAACATGTAAACGTGGAATTTTTAACAAGTTCTATTGTACGATTTCAAAGGCGGAGAAAGAGGATATGTAAACGTATCCTCGATATACGGGGAACGATATCACGTGCCGTTCTCGATCTCGCGGATCCAACTATTCCTAATGGATGCAGGACGCATCTATCATCCCTCGTCATCAACGTCAAAATTCTGGCCAAACACGGCAGCCATCGTCTCGCCACTGAATACCGACTACTGAATACAAAAGAGCAGCTGACGAATGGCAGACTACTTTCCGCCATCCTCTTTCTCGCTTCTCTTCGGCCTGTGCACGGACGCTCGTTATTCGGAATTACTCATTATTCAGGCGAATTTTTATTTCTCTTCTTGACCATTTGATTCCTTCCTTTCATTTTCTTTTATTTTCAAAATTCGCAAAAATTGAAATCGACGTGAAGAAATATTTAAGAATTTTAATGTGTCATTAAAAAAGTTGTGTTAAACGTGCTTTCGAGTAATAATGAAGTAACAAAAGTTTGAAAATTTAGAAATGAAATCATGTTTCGAATAACGTAACGTTTTTCGATATAAATGAATGTTGCGAGTGTTTTATGAGAAATTAAGAAATGTTTAAATGTTTACATCGTATAATTTTTATTAATCTTTAAAATCTTTATAATGTTTTTTTTTTTGTATATTTTTGTTAACAGAATTAATTACAATAATTACCGGGGATAAAAAGAAACATAATTGCGCGTTAATTGTGACGGAAGATTTTCAAGATAAGCAAAAGAATAAGATACTGTACGATTTGCATTTTATTACTTATTTTATTCGAATGCGTTGTATGCGCGCAATACAAAGCTAAAGAATATCTAAATTAAGCAAAAACATTGGCGTCAATAAGAATTTGGAGGATATTAACTAAAGTTTGAGCTAGAAGTGCTGCTGACACGTTGGCACCAGCTACGATAGATGAAACCAAATTGTTGATTTGGGAAACGACCTAAGAATAGATCAGGTAATTTTATTGATTTTTCTCCGTATTTAAAAAAAATCGTATTCAAATCATACTTACATCTACGCTTGATTCACCTTTGACACTGATCGATGTTTTGGCGGACACATCGTTGATCAACTGTTTTAATTAAAAAAAATTTCGTTAGATTCAAAGACAGATCAATGAGGAGAAGGAGAGAGGAAAAATTGGAATAGCGATATTCGAACAAATATAATTTTTCTTCCCATCAAATATCAACGTGAACGTGAATCGAAAATTTGAAAATGATCAAGGAAAAATATGGAACAATATATTCTCAGGAATATGGAATATTATTGAAATGAAATAGTAGATAAGTAGATAGATCGGTTGCCTGAATAAAGCAAAGTAAATTATATGAATATAAGAACTCGTGTGGAACTCAAGTGTATAAATAAAAACTTTCGATAACCGGTAGGATTCGTCTAGTTTAAACACTAGGGGAAACTAGAGGCAGCTCTCAAGAGACACGAGCCAACTAATTGGTCGAAAGAAAGTCATGAACGTATAATGAGACAACTCTCTCAACAGAGAGTTTGAAGGGAACAGCAACAGAGTAGCATAAAGAGAAGGAAATAATGAAATAGTACGAAACGTATAAGAATATCATTAATTTAAATAATGGATTAATAAAAATATTTTTTACATGTAAAATATTTGAATTTTAATGTAAAGCGATGGAATAAAATATGAATATTTACCATGGCTACGCAGAAGGCAGCTAGGACGACGACAAAAATGAATTTGCTCATTTTGATTTGAGTGTTGTATGGAATTTGCTTCTAGAAAGCTTGGTTCGATCTGAATCTCTATTTACTGTCAAACTGTTTCAGCGGTTTATATACTAATTCCTATCTTTTTTATAACGTCATCACGAATTTAGTCAATTTATCTTTGTCAAAATATTACTTACTGGATATATTTTTAAAGGAAATAAAATAATCGTTTTTCCCATTTCGTTTGAGAGGTTATTAATCAAACGAATGCAATATATGTGATACACATGATATCGAAATATCTTTGTTAATAATTTTTAGAAGAAAAACGGAATTTTATACGGAAATATTATACTTTTTAATTATAATTTTTAACTATGTTTTTTTATCTCTAGGATATTTTATTTTCTTCCATAACGTGGCATGATTAAAATAATTTTTGTCATGTTTCTAGATTTTAATGATATCACATTTTTATTTGAGAGTAACACGATACGATTGCCATCTATCGGGACACGTGTGTTAAGATACGTCTTTTTTTGACCCAATAATAAATTATATGGAACTTTTATCGTTGCATTTTGATGACATTGAATTTTTCGAGATAGAATATATATATATAGTCAACGAAAAGTATGATATTTAATTTTTTTTCTTTTTTTTTTTCTTCGCATCTTCACATAACAAATATCACGAAGCAAAGCGATAACGTTAATTATGTTAATTTTTGTTTGTATTTTAACCTATTTAAATGAAAATTTAAATGTAATCTAAATGCTCGTTCGACTAGATCATATTATAGTTATTTACTAACTATTAATTCGATTATCAGTTTACCATGATTATTACATAAATTTTTGCGAATAAAATATATTGAAATTAGTTAAACATTGAAAACGGAAATGATAAATGGTATGAGTGACGTAGGCAATAACGAAAACGAAGCGAAACTCTGTAGATAATAAGGTACGCCAGGATAGAAAGAGCCCAAACGTGAGAACGAACTACCGGTAACGACCAAAGTTTGTCACTGTGCGCCGTTCAAGGTAATGGCGAATGGTTGGACGAGCGCGTGGTCAAACACTCTGGATTACATCGAAATTCGAACGGTATAGAAAGCAAATCGTTGAACCGAATACGACATTCGCCCATTTAAACTTTGTTCACTAATGTAAAACTAATGGAATTATCGTTCTTCGAATTTCTTGATCGTTCCCATCTTAATTTCTTCCTTACTTCCTTATTGAATAATTTTCCTAATTATCGACCGTTCAATCGAGATCCTTTCTTTGAAACATTCTTTCGTATCACTTTTTAAACTCGATCCATCGCCCAATTTTTATTATTTCTAAGATTTTATGGTATGTGTAAATATTTTCTTTATATTCTTTATATATGTTCGTTCTTCGATATCATTGACAAATTTTGAAGCATCGGAATATGACTTAACCGAGTAATTAATATACCTATAAATTCTCGTCATAGTAAAGTTTCAAAAAAATGTAAAATTAAACATTAATACGTTCAAACGATAAACTGGATAGAAAAGAAGAAAATAAGGTTGAAACGAGTTTGCGCGCAAAGATAAATGTATTGGGGCGAGTCGAAAAGAATTGCAGAATTTATTATATTAAGAATTTCAATATAACTTAAACCGCTTATTTCATCCGTGTCATCCGAGTCTATTACTCTCTTTATGTCTATTCTTTTTATTTATATTGCGTTTCTCAGTTTCATATTTATCATTTATTCATATCGTACTACATAATTTAATCCTTAGATCGATATAAAAATATTAATTTAGCGTAGAATGAAGTTTCGTCGGGACAATTTTCAAATTGTTTCACGGTTTTTATTTATTCATAAAAATAAAAATCTTCGTCGATGTCGTTAACTATTTCGAATTTATCTTGACCGAGAGAAGCTGTCGGTATTGTAGATATTTCTTTTTTTTTTTTTTTTACGAAGAATTTTATGAAGAAAATATAGTGGAAATTATAAAGAACAAGAGAAGTTATCGATGCCTACGTAATTAATAAGGGTAACAGGGAAAGCACGAGACGAACATAATTTACAAGAGACTTGTATTTTACTCGAGAGTTTTACGGCTTAATTTGCCTTTGTTGCAGCAAGTGGAGATAATAAGAGTAATGCCCCGTGATTATAGAGTTGGTCGTTGTATCGCTTTGTTACCGTCTCGTGGGGCCAACATGAAAACTCTCCGCTTTCTGCGTAACTTATCAAAATCAAAATGGCCGTACATCTAGTGGAAAAAATGCTTTACGCGACTTTAATCTACATTGTACGGACCTTGGAAAGAGAAAGAGAGAGTACCCTCCCATCTACTCGAGAAACAAAGCAAAGAGTGGCCTGGGGAAGAAATGCTTCTCTGGTTTACCAGAGAAAAGTTTACCATACGAAATGAAGATTTATCTTCGAACAATCTTTTTCTCTTTGTACATTTCTCTCTTTCGCATCTCTCGATAAACATTTGTCTGAAATTGATTTTATCGAAATTACCACGCGAGGATGTTGTGTCGTATTTTTCCACTTTACCATTAAACGATAATGTCGTAAAGCAACTCTCTCGAGATTATTGAATATACACCAAGTGATTCTGATTCGTTCTGTACAATTTTTGAAAGTTATCGTGACAAATCGTTGAATTTATTATATTCGTTTTTAGGTTAAATATAACCACCATTGATTATCATAGATTAGAAAAAAATATTTAGGGAAGAAAATTCGTGGCTCGAAAATTGATTTACTTCACTCTGTTTGGCTTTTTGTCAACGAAACGAAATCTTTATCATGTATAGTATGTACACTTTTTCTCGTAACCGGCAACTGTAACGGGACCTAATTTTCATATGAATCCGAGCACCGTGAAAGTTGCAGTTAAATGGAGCAAGTTTTTCTGCCATTTCTATGCTCCCTCCGTTCTCGCCAAGAATATACTTCCGAAATATACGTGCATATACACGTACGCATATATACACACATACTTCCGGCCGCGTTTCAAAGGAAAAATAGAGAAGCACCACCGGGCATGCCACACCTATTCTACTCTCCCTTGAAACATTTTTTCCCATTCCTCTCCTTTTTCTTTTTTTTTTTTTTTTTTTTTTTGTCTTTTTATTCGCATTTCCACCGTGCAATCCCACATATTACTCTTTCAACAACGCGTGTACAGAGTCGTTTATTTATGCTCGTTTTCCTTCGTTTCTCTCTTAACTCCTCCCTTCAATAGGCCTTTTGCACATCTTTCACTATTCGTAGTGTCTCCACGTTTCCTTCCACGTGTTGCTTCCATTTTTCGTCTTTCGCGTCGATCGAAAAATAACGACACGAAGTCTAAAAAAAAGCCTTGATCTTTCAGAGAAAGAAACGCTTTGTGATTTTTATCAACAAAAAAAAAAGCGACTGAAAAAAAAAATCATTTTTAAAAAAAAGTCGTTTCATGACTTCGTAAAAACAATATATACGCGTCATCCTGTAAAAAAAAAAAAAAAAAATAGATTATGACTCTCTAAAAACACACATCGCTACCTTTTAAAAAACACTTGGCGACTCTTGCCAACAAAAATGACAGCGACGACCTTTTAAAAAATACTTCTTTTCGAGAAACTTCCGCGTTACCTTCTAAAAAATCCAAAACATCTCTCGACAACGCTCATTTAACTAAAAATGACAACGATCTCTCGAGAAAAAAAAAAAAAAAAAAAAAAGACCCTTTTACATCTCCTCTTACAAGCGTTGGACGCCGCTGGTTTCCAAACAATCTCTCCTCCTCTCGCTCTCGAGAGAGAGAGGCGGAGAGATTGTTTGGAAACCAGCGGCGTCCAACGCTTGTAAGAGGAGATGTAAAAGCGCCTTTTTTTTTTTTTTTTTGTCGAGAAACTTCCGCGTTACCTTCTAAAAAATCCAAAACATCTCTCGACAACGCTCATTTAACAAAAAAAGACAACGATCTCCCGAAAAAAAAAAAAAAAAAAAAGACACTTTTACATCTCCTCTTACAAACGTTGGAAGCCGCTTGTTTCCAAACAATCTCTCCTCCTCTCTCTCTCGAGAGAGAGGGAATTTTCCAATTCAGAATCGCGGGATGCGATTGTTTGGTAATTGCGGTGGTAATCGGCCCAGCATTTCTGAATTCGCTCGAACGTGGCCCCCCTCCCCCGATGATCCCGGTTTCGACAATGCATCGACAGTGAGAGAGAGTCGTTGCTTTGGAGAAGGATTTCCCCCCACTACTCTGCCCCATTGTTCGTTAAAAGTCATTCAATAGTCATTCAGTTAACTAAATCGTGGGCGCGTGTAACGTTGGACATGATTGCTCTCAAAAAAGTCCTAGCTTTGCCTCCTATGTTATTTTATTATGGCCGTTGAATGGCGGCTGATTGACCGTTCCGCTGTTTGCCGTATGCGAAATCTCCTCTTTTGAGAGAGAGAGAGCTGACTCGCGTGTATCGACTCCACCTTTCGAATCGATCGAGTATTCGCGCACTTTGTTCCTTTTTTTCCCCCTCTGGATCATGATCGAACGAAAAGGATCCAGTGAAGGATTTTTTTACGTTACACTTAAACGATTTTCATAGATATTACAACACATCTTCTTCCTTGTAAATTTTAAATACCTAAAGTGCTTTCACTTTAATAATAGATAAAAATAGATTTTTCATTCCCGTACACACGATCTAGCTACGAACCAAGTGATAACAAATCTAAATCAATCATTGTACAATTTTTTTTTTTTTGTTTCTCGTCCAAACACATTTTAAGCGAGTAGGTGTTTTAGTTGATTGTAATAAATATCGAAGATGAAGCTCTTTGAAGCTAGTGAAGTGTCTTTAGAAAATTGCAATTCCCTTATTTCTAAGTTTACTTTTGCAAGACACGTAAGAGGCCACGTACATATCTGCTCTTATGGCTTTTCTCACTTACCTTGTACGCGCATGGTAAATACGTTTCTATGCTTTATCTTCGAGATAAAATTTAATGAATTTCGTTACTCCGCCGAATGAAAAAATAATAATAATTTTCAAGAGGAAAAAAAACTTTCCAACGAATCTCAAATCTTTTTTTCACAGTTTATTTCCAATTAAAAATCAAGAAAGATCTCGTTTTTCGAATTCGTCGAAAGAATCAGGAGGAAACTTATTATATTGGAATAATTCGTTGACGCAAAGGACGCTAAAAATTTTCCCTAGCGGTAGCAATAAGAACTCGCTTCGTGCCAGGTCTTTATTATCATCGGTTGGTCAAGTCTTTATTTACAGTTTGCAATATGGAGATATCCAGTGTGGAATCAACGACAAAAGGACGGTTGGCGTATTTTCATCGAATCCGTGAAACTCTTCCTTCCTCCTTTGCCAGGTGGACAGAAAATGTGTAACGTTAACCGAGTTGCAGTCAGTTTTATCTCGTTTCTATGTCGCCTACGAAATTCGAGAGAAAATCGAAAGAAGAGTTCGATAGGAGACAGTTTATAAGGTTATAACAATCGGTATCGAGGGATTCAAAGTTTGCGCGTAATGGCCGGCCAACCGATACGATTGCAACAGTTTTCCAACAGTTTCTTTATTCTCTTCGTGGCGATATCGCGTGCTCGTCGAAACTAGTCGAAACTAGTCGAACGTGTTTGAAACGATGCTCGCTCTCGATGTGTCATCCTCCATATATTTAATATATCGTATTCACTTGCAGGGGGGGGATTAGAATTTTTGCAAAAGTTTCTGCAAGCGATTTGAATTTTTTATGATAACTATTTCGAACGGATCGAATTTCAACTCAAAGAATAAGTAACAACTCTTCTCTCGGAAAAAGAGAGAAAATTCCTTTCGCTTGCAAAGAGGACGGAAGGGATATATATATATCATATGTCAATTTTTCAAGTCGGGATAACGACGAGAAAATCGATTTTACATCGGCTGTCACCTGTCCTCTCGTCGACGTGAAAATAGGAATCGCGATCTTGGAATTGAAATGGTCAGTGGAGGTGTCTGAGACGAGAAAGAATCGAGAAATTGGACCAGCGTGAAATCGACGAAGAATCGAGAAGGATCGACGAACGCTTGCTGTCTTCGTTTCGCGCATCCAGACGATTTATCTTTCTTCTCGTATTATATAGTTTATACAATTTCTCTCTACGTTCGACAAGTGTTCGAATACTTTAAAATTATATTTATTCGTTGCGATTTAAAAATGATTTTTGAGTGACATACAGGTGACTATTAATTAATTAATCTGTCAAAGAAATCGTGATTCGAAGAGAAAAAACCTCGTAGTTGAAAATCTCGTGGCACGTGCTTTGCCTTCCAAAGATTCGAAAGTGATTCGAAAATTTATCAGGGAAATGAATTATTCCGAGAATCTTATTCCGAATTTCTATAAAGATTAATATTTAAAAAATTCTTTATTCTTTAAATTTTAAATGTGCACGGTGAAAGTGAAAACGAATCTTTTTAACGTTCAGTGAAAATTCAGTGTACAGCTTTAAGGATTATTATAACGAAAAACTAAGCGAAAAAATTCCTTATTTATTTTATGCTATATAAATGTATTATATTTTATTCGAGCAAAGGACATTCTCTTTTGTTTAGAAATTAGAATTTTATTATAGAATGTCATTATTCAGCTCCAAATATATATACCGCGATAACGGGAACAATTTTGCATATCTTTAAAAAATATTTAGTCACTTTTTGCAATTCGTCATGTTACATTCATTTTCATGTCACGCTCTTATCTCTCGTGCTTGAAAAATATTCCCTCATATTCCACATGACGGAGTAGCGTCAATTATCATTCGTATTATTATATCATTGCGAAGATAAAAGATCGTACTTTGATATATATATCAAATTATATAGTTATGCCATTTTTTTTTTCATCTTCCTCATCGAGTAAAAAGAAAAAGCGAGGGCAGGATAAGATTATTCATGACTCGAGAATTAGAATTCTCGTTGAAATTTATCGCAATTTTTATCTAACGACGATTTGCAATTATACGCGTTTATTAATTTTCAAAATTGTCCCGATAAACGCTATCCTGTTCTTTTTTGCAATAACCTATAAATTGTGTTATGTAAGAAGCTCGGGTCGTTGCTTTAACCTTTCTCTTCCTCCGAGATATTCGCGTAGGAGGAAAGGTTTAAACGCTGAATAGGACATGA